AGTCACAGAGATGACAATCTGCTGGAGAGATGGAGAGAGAGAGAGAGAGAGGAACAGTCACAGAGATGACAATCTACTGGAGAGAGAGAGGGAGAGAGGAACAGTCACAGAGATGACAATCTACTGGAGAGAGAGAAACAGTCACAGAGATGACAATCTACTGGAGAGAGAGGGGGAGAGAGGAACAGTCACAGAGATGACAATGTACTGGAGAGAGAGGGAGAGAGAGGAACAGTCACAGAGATGACAATCTACTGGAGAGTTGGAGAGAGAGGGAGAGAGAGAGAGAGAGAAACAGTCACAGAGATGACAATCTACTGGAGAGAGAGGAACAGTCACAGAGATGACAATCTACTGGAGAGAGAGGGGGAGAGAGGAACAATCACAGAGATGACAAGGAGTGTGTGAGATGTAAGATCATTACATACAGAAGTTTGTGAGGTGTAAGATCATTACATACATGAGTGTGTGAGATATAAGATCAGTACATACAGGAGTGTGTGAGATATAAGATCAGTACATACAGGAGTGTGTGAGATATAAGATCACTACATACAGGAGTGTGTGAGATGTAAGAGATCACACACAGTGCAGTAAGTGTACATGAGGAGTGTGTGATGTAAGTCATTAGATTCATGTACATTACACAGGAGTGTGTGAGATGTAACATCATTACATACAGGAGTGTGTGAGATGTAAGATCATTACATGCAGGAGAGTGTGAGATGTAAGATCACTACATGCAGGAGTGTGTGAGATGTAAGATCATTACGTACAGGAGTAAGTGCACGAGATGTAAGATGATTACATGCAGGAGAGTGTGAGATGTATGATTATTGCATGCAGGAGTGTGTGAGGTGTAAGATCACTACATGCAGGAGTGTGTGAGATGTAAGATCAATGCATGCAGGAGTGTGTGAGATGTAAGATCAACACATGCAGGAGTGTGTGAGATGTAAGATCACTTCATGCAGGAGAGGTGAGATGTAAGATCATTACATGCAGGAGTGTGAGATGTAAGATCATTACATGCAGGAGTGTGAGATGTAAGATCATTACATGCAGGAGTGTGAGATGTAAGATCATTACATGCAGGAGTGTGAGATGTAAGATCATTACATGCAGGAGTGTGAGATGTAAGATCAACACATGCAGGAGTGTGAGATGTAAGATCACTACATGCAGGAGTGTGAGATGTGTGAGATGTAAGATCACTACATGCAGGAGTGTGAGATGTAAGATCATTACATGTAGGAGTGTGTGAGATGTAAGATCACTACATGCAGGAGGGTGTGAGATGTACGATCACTACATGCAGGAGAGTGTGAGATGTAAGATTAACACATGCAGTAGTGTGTGAGATGTAAGATCACTACATGCAGGAGTGTGTGAGATGTAAGATCATTACATGCAGGAGTGTGAGATGTAAGATCACTACATGCAGGAGTGTGTGAGATGTAAGATCATTACACAGTAAGTGTGTGAGATGTAAGATCATTACATGCAGGAGTGTGTGAGATGTAAGACATGCAGGAGGAGTGTGAGATGTAAGATCATACATGCAGGAGTGTGAGATGTAAGATCATTACATGCAGGAGGAGTGTGAGATGTAAGATCATTACATGCAGGAGTGTGTGAGATGTAAGATCACTACATGCAGGAGTGTGTGAGATGTGTGCAGGAGTGTGTGAGATGTAAGATCATTACATGCAGGAGAGTGTGAGATGTAAGATCATTACATGCAGGAGTGTGTGAGATGTAAGATCATTACATGTGTGAGATGTAAGATCACTACATGCAGGAGAGTGTGAGATGTAAGATCATTACATGCATGCAGGAGTGTGAGATGTGTGAGGAGTGTGTGAGATGTAAGATCACTACACAGTGCAGATGTGTGTGAGATGTAAGATCACTACATGCAGGAGAGTGTGAGATGTAAGATCAGTAGTGTGTGAGATGTAAGATCACATGCAGATGATTACATGCAGGAGAGTGTGAGATGTAAGATCATTACATGCAGGAGTGTGTGAGAGTGTGAGATGTAAGATCATTACATGCAGGTGAGTGTGAGATGTAAGATCAACACATGCAGTAGTGTGTGAGATGTAAGATCACTACATGCAGGAGAGTGTGAGATGTAAGATCATTACATGCAGGAGAGTGTGAGATGTAAGATCATTACATGCAGGAGAGTGTGAGATGTAAGATCACTACATGCAGGAGAGTGTGAGATGTAAGATCACTACATTCAGGAGAGTGTGAGATGTAAGATCATTACATGCAGGAGTGTGAGATGTAAGATCATTACATGCAGGAGTGTGAGATGTAAGATCATTACATGCAGGAGTGTGAGATGTAAGATCATTACATGCAGGAGAGTGTGAGATGTAAGATCAACACATGCAGGAGAGTGTGAGATGTAAGATCATTACATGCAGGAGAGTGTGAGATGTAAGATCACTACATGCAGGAGAGTGTGAGATGTAAGATCACTACATGCAGGAGTGTGAGATGTAAGATCATTACATGCAGGAGAGTGAGATGTAAGATCACTACATGCAGGAGTGTGAGATGTAAGATCATTAAATGCAGGAGTGTGAGATATAAGATCACTACATGCAGGAGTGTGAGATGTAAGATTATAAAATGCAGGAGAGTGAGATGTAAGATCATTACATGCAGGAGTGTGAGATGTAAGATCACTACATGCAGGAGTGTGAGATGTAAGATCACTACATGCAGGAGTGTGAGATGTAAGATCATTACATGCAGGAGTGTGTGAGATGTAAGATCACTACATGCAGGAGTGTGAGATGTAAGATCATTACATGCAGGAGTGTGAGATGTAAGATGATTACATGCAGGAGTGTGTGAGATGTAAGATCATTACATGCAGGAGTGAGAGATGTAAGATCAACGCATGCAGGAGTGTGAGATGTAAGATCATTACATGCAGGAGTGTGAGATGTAAGATCATTACATGCAGGAGTGTGAGATGTAAGATCATTACATGCAGGAGTGTGTGAGATGTAAGATCATTACATGCAGGAGTGTGAGATGTAAGATCATTACATGCAGGAGTGTGAGATGTAAGAAATATAAGGGCACAGACAGAAATATAAGGGCACAGACAGAAATATAAGGGCACAGACAGAAATATAAGGGCACAGACAGAAATATGAGGGCACAGACAGAAATATAAGGGCACAGACAGAAATATAAGGGCACAGACAGAAATATAAGGGCACAGACAGAAATATAAGGGCACAGACAGAAATATAAGGGCACAGACAGAATTACAAGGGCATAGACACAAATATAAGGGCACAGACACAAATATAAGGGCACAGACAGAAAAATAAAAGGACAGACATAAATATAGGGGCACAGGCAGAAATAATTAGGAACAGGCAAATATAAGAGCACAGGCAGAAATGTAAGGGCACAGACAGAAATAACAGGGAACAGACAGAAATATAAGGGACACAGACAGAAATATAAGGGAACATACACAAATATATGAGCACAGACAGAAATATAAGGGAAGAGACAGAAATATATGAGCACAGACAGAAATATAAGGGAAGAGACAGAAATATATGAGCACAGACAGAAATATAAGGGCACAGACACAAATATATGAGCACAGACAGAAATATAAGGGAACAGACAGAAATATAAGGGAACAGACACAAATATAAGGGAACAGACACAAATATAAGGGAACAGACAGAAATATAAGGAAACAGACACAAATATAAGAGAACAGACACAAATATGAGAGCACAGACATAAATAATAGGGAAAAGAGAGAAATAATAGGGATCAGACAGAAATATAAGGGCACAGACATAAATATATGAGCACAGACAGATATATAAGGGAACAGCCAGAAATATAAGGGAACAGACAGAAATATAAGGGAACAGACAGAAATATAAGGGAACAGACAGAAATATAAGGGAACAGACAGAAATATATGAGCACAGACAGAAATATAAGGGCACAGACACAAATATATGAGCACAGACATAAATATAAGGGAACAGACAGAAATATAAGGGAACAGACACAAATATAAGGGAACAGACATAAATATAAGGGAACATACAGAAATATAAGGAAACAAACACAAATATAAGGGAACAGACACAAATATGAGAGCACAGACATAAATAATAGGGAAAAGAGAGAAATAATAGGGATCAGACAGAAATATAAGGGCACAGACACAAATATATGAGCACAGACAGATATATAAGGGAACAGACATAAGGGAACAGACAGAAATATAAGGGAAAAGAGAGAAATAATAGGGATCAGACAGAAATATAAGGGCACAGACATAAATAATAGGGAAAGACTGAAATATAAAAACACAGACAGAAATACATAAACAGAAAAAAAAGAGCATAAACAGGAATATATTCATGTTAGTGCAATGGAGTAGTCAGACACATATGTAACTCAGGTGTATTTAAGGGACGGAGAGAGAGAGAGAGAATGTGGTAACCTTGCATTCTTTACGTCCTTTTCAGGACGTAACTTTTTTGTTATTTGAAGCCCCACTCTGGCTTTTGTCAGGGGCCGCAATATAGGCAGGCCATAAATATGGCCAATTGTCTGAACTCGGTTTCTGGGACCTCTCCACGGTGATCCTCATCCACATGGTGGCACTTAGTGTCATCGGGTGTTTATCGCTTGTGTGATGTCCTAGTGGGGTAGAAAGTCAGTCAGTCAGTCAGAGGATGTGGGCTAAAATGCGGGTTTGTAGTTTATTTTAAGATAAGTCTCAGATGTAAAACAGCTGCAGAACATAGCAACCAGTAGACACACGATGTGCCATAATTATCAAAGCTCGCTGTGAACTGCTGACCTTGTGTAAAACAAGCAATACATTATTGAATGAACATGTTTCAACGGCAAACAGGCAACATCTATAAATAAACAGCTGAGTGAACTGTGCTGTTAAAATCGTGCTACATGCATGGTGTCCGTACCTATTGCCTTGTGTCTTTTTCGATTTTGATCTCTTTTTTGATGAGCTGTATTCGTCTGGCATTGGTAACGATGAAGCGTATCCATGCTCTGCTTCTGCAATAGGTTGAATTAACAATTAAATGCTTGACTGGTCTTAAGGTTCCTAACACTAGAACATCTCCCATATAACTGATATGTGTATGTATAACTGTGGCCACTTTCAAGTCGACATTACAACGCCTAATTAGAAACATCACATAATGAACTTGCTTACGAGTATTTACAATAGCCTATATAAATGAACTAAAAGATTAACAGTGCGCTGGCACAGACAAACGGCAACTGACATTCACATCAAGGAACTGAAAACTATTAGTTCGTTAAAACACAAATAAATACAACGGCGTCACAGTTTCATGAGAACATTATTCCGTGCTGTTACCTCTTTCACGTCTTTCAATATATTCTGCTGCCTGTAAGAGTTGTGCAATACGCTGCATATTCACGCAGAGAACCTGCCCTGATGTCTGCCGGGTGGGAATTCTTCAACCAAATGACGACGTGCCTCATCCAGGCCCTGGGGGAATTCTTCAACAAATCGACATTGCAACTGCTAGTTTTCTGCGCCCTGTGTGGTTTTGTTTACAAACAAATTAGCCGCGCCTCCGTGTGACAACGTGATGTCAGACATGCTGCGCCAAGACGTGACTGTCAGCGTTAGGACGTGCCGTACCTGGCAGGGTCTGCTTACCGGCATCTTGTTGGTTTGCGTGCGCATTGTTGCTCTGCCTGCAGGCTGTTGGTCTGACTTAGGTGGACAAATGATCATTTACTGGCTGACTTAGATGGACAAATGATCATTTACTGACTTACTAAGGTAAACAAATGATCATTTACTGACTGATTTAGATAGAGAAATGATCATTTACTCACTGATTTAGATGGACAAATGATAATTTACTGACTGACATAGGTGGACAAATGATCATTTACTGGCTGACATAGGATTTACTGGCTGACATAGGTGGACAAATGATCATTTACTGGCTGACATAGGTGGACAAATGATCATTTACTGACTGACATAGGTGGACAAATGATCATTTACTGACTGACAGGTGGAAAAAATGATCATTTACTGGCTGACTTAGATGGACAAATTATCATTTACTGGCTGACTTAGGTAGACAAATGATCATTTACTGACTGCCTTAGATGGACAAATGATCATTTACTGATTGACTTAGATGGACAAATGATCATCTACTGGTTGACTTAGATGGACAAATGATCATTTACTGGCTGACTTAGATGGACAAATGATCATTTACTCACTGACTTAGATGGACAAATGATCATTTACTGGCTGACTTAGATGGACAAATGATCATTTACTGACTGACTTAGATGGACAAATGATCATTTACTGACTGACTTAGATGGACAAATGATCATTTACTGACTGACTTAGATGGACAAATGATCATCTACTGGCTGACTTAGATGGACAAATGATCATTTACTCACTGACTTAGATGGACAAATGATCATTTACTCACTGACTTAGATGGACAAATGATCATTTACTGAGTGACTTAGATGGACAAATGATCATTTACTCACTGACTTAGATGGACAAATGATCATTTACTCACTGACTTAGATGGACAAATGATCATCTACTGGCTGACTTAGATGGACAAATGATCATTTACTCACTGACTTAGATGGACAAATGATCATTTACTCACTGACTTAGATGGACAAATGATCATTTACTCACTGACTTAGATGGACATATGATCATTTACTCACTGACTTAGATGGACAAATGATCATTTACTGGCTGACTTAGATGGACAAATGATCATTTACTCACTGACTTAGATGGACAAATGATCATTTACTCACTGACTTAGATGGACAAATGATCATTTACTCACTGACTTAGATGGACAAATGATCATCTACTAACTGACTTAGATGGACAAATGATCATTTACTGACTGACTTAGATGGACAAATGATCATTTACTGGCTGACTTAGATGGACAAATGATCATTTACTGGCTGACTTAGATGGACAAATGATCATTTACTGGTTGACTTAGGTGGACAAATGATCATTTACTCACTGACTTAGATGGACAAATGATCATTTACTGACTGACTTAGATGGACAAATGATCATCTACTGACTGACTTAGATGGACAAATGATCATCTACTGACTGACTTAGATGGACAAATGATCATTTACTGACTGACTGACTTACGTGTAATAATAGAGCAAAGCATTGAACTGAACTCACCAATTTACATTGGATTCATTGACTATGAAAAAAAAATTTGACAGCATTGAAATAGAATCTCTGTGGAAATTGAATGGACGCCATGGAATCCCACAGAAAATTAATAATTCAGTAAAGGCAACATATAAAGACCAGAAATGTCGAGTTCATCATGAGGGAAAGCTAACAGATATATTTGGAATAAAAACAGGTGTGCGACAGGGATGCCTTTTGACGCCTCTCTTTTTTTTACCGGCTATAGACTGGACTATGAAGACAGTAACTGCTAACACCGAGAATGGAATTCAGTGGACCCCTACAAAACAGCTTGATGATCTCTTATTTTTACTGGCTATAGACTGGATTATGAAAACAGTAACTGCTAACACCGAGAATGGAATTCAGTGGACCCCTACAAAACAGCTTGATGATCTCTTATTTTTACTGGCTATAGACTGGATTATGAAAACAGTAACTGCTAACACCGAGAATGGAATTCAGTGGACCCCTACAAAACAGCTTGATGATCTGGGTCCTGACAAAGCCAAACTTTTTTTTCAAAAATGACCTCGGCTGTCAGATAGACCTAGCCTTGAGAGCAGTCCTGGAAAGTAAAGGCGGCCGGTGTGATGTTGACCACATCAAACACCAAGTGCTGATTGGTCTATAAAATATTAGTCTAGCCCTATATGCCCAATACGCTCGAAGGTGTGGACAGTGTCCTTTACTTTTCTCATTTTTTAATTATATTTGGCATTACTGCACCTAGGCATTCCCATGCGTGCTCAGTCTCCAATACTGTAGCCACTTAGAAGTAGCCATACTGATTGTTCTCATGATCATTTGGTAATAATGTTTCATGTCTTTCCCTCAAAGAAGGTACAAACTTGTTTCACTAAACCTTACTCCCAGGTCATGCAATCCTTTTAGAGTATTATATATTCATCATTATCCACCAGTAGATCGTTGATGATCCTTCTGTTCCTTCACGTATGCACTGCGGACCAGTTAATCTGCTCCTTTACGTATGCACTGCGGGCCAGTTAATCTGCTCCTTCACGTATGCACTGCGGGCCAGTTAATCTGCTCCTTCACGTATGCACTGCGGGCCAGTTAATCTGCTCCTACTCGCATGCACGGGTGCATTGCGTACCAGTTAATCTGCTCCTTCACGTATGCACGGGTGCACCGCGGGCAAGTTGATCTGCTCCTTCATGTGTGCACTGGCGCATTGCGTGCCAGTTAATCTGCTCCTTCACGTATGCTCTGGTGTACTGCGTGCCAGTTAATCTGCTACTTTACGTTTACTCTGGTGCACTGATGGCCAGTTAATCTGCTCCTTCAAGTATGCAGAATTTTTTGGGTGTCGTGATTTTTCTAGGTAAATTTACGTCCAGTAGTTTGTCATTGCTTACTGGAGGGTCATCTTCTAGATACCATTGTCGAAACCAACTCACGGCGCAAGGCCTGCAGCTGGGAACCCGCGCACTCCCCCCCCCCCCCCCCACTCCCCCATAAAGCCTTTACCTGTGTCGCTCTCACCGAGGACAAATCTCATGGCGTGACACGAGGTGTCTTTTGTGCAGCCCAGAATGAGTCACGTGACCTCGTTTTCTACCACTCGATTCTTTCTGGCCGAGTTCTGCTGACAGTGAGGAGGCCCAAACCGTCTATAACACTTGACGCAAGTCTTTGATGGAGAAGAAAAAGTGAGCGTCATTCAATATCGCGAATGCCATCACTTTCAGTCTTGTTAGAACTTCCCTGGTTCTAGCACTGTTTACGTGATGCTTGTATGACAAGCATCTGCCGAGGTTCACGCCGGAGTTTTTAATCATGTTCATTCTTTTGTTGTCTATACCACACATGCCCAGGACTGGCGTAGTCGTACTGACTATGTGGGTATTCTAAGACTACCACGACAAGGACACCTTTATCGGATTTACACGCCGGGGTATTTAATCATGTTCATTATTTCGTTGTCTATACCACACTTGCCCTGGATTGGCGTAGTCGTACTGACTTTGTGGGTATGCAAAGAGTACCACGACAAGGACACCTTTATCGGGTTTACACGTGCTCTTGATTCCTGGCACCAATCACCGGGTCGGTATAATTCACGCTGTAGCGTTGATGTATTTCAATCCTGTTTCTTATCTTCGGTACCCAAGGATGTCGTCTGCCAACGACCTTGTTCTACCAAGACCTACTATTCGTGCACTGGTTGTTACTGATGTGCACGCACTGAAGAGAACAGGAGACAAATATGATCCCCGGGGCAAGCCCGTTTGGAAACGTCGAGGTTTCGATGCCGATGCACCATATGGCTGCGACACTGTTCTTTCCAAGAGTGCTGCTGCGATCTGCTTGACCAGTTTCGTCTCTCTTTCAATATCTGACAGCAGTCTAGTGAGCATGTTGTATGGGAAGCGTCCTCCTAGTCAATGGCGAATGCAACAGTTTCTGCTCCTTCTGAAAGTTCCCATTTGTGTCATAGGCAAATGCTTCAGCATTGTACTAAGCATCTCTGTCGGGGCGGTAAACTCCTTTTGTAGGTGCCAAAAGATCGGTTGACTTCATTTTTTTTTTGGTGGGGGGGGGGGGGGGGGGGGGGGGGGGGGGGGGGGGTCGACTCTGTGGCCAAGATTTTCTCTTTGAATTTGTTATGAAGTGTACTGCTTCTGTATTCACTTCTTGTTGCATGATCTATCTCAGGCTAAGGAAGGGGTGGGTAAGAACAGATGTCAGTTGTGTGTGCGGACACCATCATCACCACCAGCTGCTGCTGCTACGACTACAACCAGAAGTGATTGATGATAGTATTGATAGTAGTATTACTTGTACGTAAGTTAGTCGTGATGGTGGCGGTAGTGGAAACGAAGATTTCAGCAACTTCAAACATATTCTGTAATACTGTTAGTTATGGCAGTACTTGTAGAAAATGTTGCTGTAAGAGAACAAGAAGGAAAGAAATCTAAGCATGCAAATAAAAATTAAAAACAGACAAACTGACAGCGAAACAAATATTCAAGTCGATTTTGTAAATACGGGGAGTCACCTAAAGAAAGTATTGCACAGATGTTTCTGGATAAATATAGAGACACGAAACAAAATGCAAATAACACAAACAACTAGCACAGAGGAAGCTTTCCAGATAAGATATGTGTCCTCAAATATACTTGCGTATGTGTATGCGTGTATATATATATA